TTATAGTACTAGAGATGCAATGGGGCAAAAATGTGGCTTTTACATTTTTTTACGAGAGCAATCTTGAGTTTTTACCAAAATATTTTCTTGTTTACTAAAGAGTCCTGAAGCTTCCTATCAAGACCAGCATCTGTGACAAGACATTTCTGCAGCTGTCCTTTCACAGATAATCCACTGGCTGAGCTTTCATGGTTGAACTTTTGATGGGCAACTCAGGTGAATTTTTTCAACAAGCCTTTTGTCATGGATGGTAGCACTTGTTAGTCCATTTTCTTCCAACTTTTCCTGAAGTACAGCTAGTCCTAAATCCCCCCAGTGTCACCCAAAGTCACACCCCAGGGACAAGGCAGGAAGGCAAGCCAATATGGCTGAGAGGACAGAGAATGGAGACGAGCGTGGAGAGACCTTGACCTTGACCTTGAAAAGCGGGCTACGGAAAAAAAGTTGGCTTTATGACATTTAGCTAAATTTATGATGTTGTGGTGCCAGTTTTTTAACATGGATTTATAATTTAGCACAAAGATCATAAAAATTTTTAAATAGTTAAACTAAGGAAATAGCATCTTAGTGAATTTATGCTTAAATAGCCTTTTGTTTCCAAGGCACAATAGTGATACATAAAATATAAACATATAAGAAGTATTAAATAATAAAATATAAAGATATAAAAAGAGAAAACCAAAAAGAAACGACACTCAAATGTAGGTAAACATCCCCACAGAGGGCTGGGCAGGACGTGCGTGAAGGGTCTGCCAGGCCCAGGGCCGGAAGCAGTTCGAGGCAGCCACGTGCTCAGCTCCAGCGAAGTCTGAGGACTCAAAGTGCCCCCGTGAGGAGGGAACAAAACTGCCCTCATCACAGAGTTTTAGAGCCTTAACTGTCGGTGAGGTTCAGGCCTAGGAAGGCAGCAAAACAAGGATGCAGCTCTGCACCTGGCCGCTCCGCCATGTTGCCTGCTGGCTCCACGATGATGTTTAACATATCTTCAATGTCTCTAAGAGACAGCAATGCGGAACAACCTTAATAAGTCCTGCCCTGAAATGAGGTCTTACAGTGTGGTTGGGGAAAAAACTGCAAAAACACTAGAAAGAGTGGGTGTACATAGAAAGAAGAGAAGAAAGAGGCAGGAAAGAGAAAAAAAGAAAAAGAAACTGAAAGGAAATCACACTCAAATCAAGCCTGTGAACTCTAATTCCAAAATATGTAACAAAGCTAATGCTAAGAAAAGCAACAAAATAATTAGAATAGGAATAGGAATAAGAGAGGGCAGTGCCATGCGCTGAACGTTCATGTCCCATCCCAACTCACACGCTGAAGCCCTAATCCCTGACGTGATGGTATTTGGAGCCGGGGCCTCTGGGAAATAATTAGGGTTGGATTAGGTCATGAGGGTAGGGCCTCATGATAGAATTAATGCCACTGTAAAAAGAGAAAGGGACACAAGAGCTCTTGTACTCCTGCCATGTGGGGGATACAGCAAGAAGGTAGCCATCTACAAGCCAGGGAAAGGATTCTCCCTAGGAAGTGAATCTGCTGCCACTTTGATCTTGGACTTCCCAGCCTCCAGAAGTAAATAAGAAATACACGTTGGTTGTTTTAGCCACTCGGTTTATGACAGTTTGTTATAGGAGCCCTGAACTGACCTAGACAGGTAGCCTGACAAGCACTTTTAAAATAAGCATGTTATTCTTTGGGCATTTTCACCCAGAAATCTCACTTTCTTTAGGCACTTTAATTGAACATACATAATCATAAACTCTTCTTCAGAGCTGTTTCTTGACCCATTGTCCTTGTCTCAGTGAAGGACACTACCATGTAGCCCGTGACCTGAGGGAACACAGTGGTGTTACCTTTCAGCCTTCCCCGGTGCTCAAATCACTCTCTACCAGCAGGTAAACTCAACCAACCAGGAAGTCCAGTCTCCTCTACCTCCTAAATATCTCCACACTGGTATAATTTTGCCATCTCTGCCACCAGAATTCTCATCTCAGCCACTGTTAGGACTTTCCAAGACCACTGCAAAGAGCTCCTATCTCTTGTCCCTGCCTCTGCTAGTTACCCCTGGGGAAAAGGAAAAGGAATGAAATCAAGGAGTGCTCCTCAAGTGTTTTGTGCGTTTTTCCTCTAAAAATGAAGACTGAAACAAACACGGTAAGATCTGATAAAGCTGAGCGGCTGATACACAGAAATTCACCATTACATTCTCTCTTTTGCTGGGACATTTGAAATGTTTTCCAGTGAAAAAGTATGTAACTAAAATAGTAATACTCTTAAATAAAATGAAATGGTTGCTACTACCTGCTTGTCATCCTTTTACTATGGGAATCAATTTGGTATAAGTTTCTTAACACTATCATTTTCCTACTTTTTGAAACTATTGATAGGAATGCCATCTGCAAATTACCACCACCAAGATCGTTCTTCAGATGGACGGTCTAAAGACGCTCATCAGGAGGTGATGGTCAAAAAGGAGCTGTTAAGGGAATCTTGCTTTGTCCTGTTAGGGAAATACAATGCATCCATAAAATGAGAGTTATGAAGATTAAATCACACATGGAAAGGCACCTATATCGTGGTGTTAGGTGAAAACATACACAGGTAGGTATACCCGTATGCACACTCGTGTACACATCTATGATTAGAAAAAAGAATATTGAAAGGCAATAAACCCAAATACCAAAGTGCATGTGTAAGGACGGTGGCTTTATTTTTAATGTTTCAGTAAGGCATTTAACTTTTATAATATAGAGAGTTTTCTCTTAAAGGAAAGAAAATACATCATTGAGTGCAGCGCTTTAGGCAGGCTTCCATTTTTATATGGAGCAGTGCGCGTCCTGTGTGAAGATTAGCATCTCACTCCCTGTGTCTGAGAGCTGCAAAAGGAGGCAGGCTGCCTTTCTTCTCTGCCAAGTGATGGTGCCCACTGTCACTCAGAGGCAGTGTGGCTGGAACTGCCTGATAGTTCCTGCGAAGGTTTAATAACCAGAATGATAGTGGCTCAAGTAGGCAGAGGTAATGCTGAAGGGCCAAACTGGCTGTATCAAAACACAATGCTTGATTCACACTTAATAAGGCTGCCTCTTATCCTAGCTAACTGGGGATGAATCTTTATGATCACCGTACAAATCAGCCATTTATCTTGCATTTCCCATGCTCTGAAATACGCAGGTGTAATGCAAAGTGTTCGTTTCGTGTTGAGGTAGGAAGAAGTGGGGGTGGGTGTCCTCCTCTTTTATTGAGTAGTCCCTGCGCAGTCAGGACTGTCTGAATTTCACTCCTTTGTGTCCTCAGACAAAGATTTAAGCCTAAAGCTTAAACCTGGACTTCACTGAAAGAAGGGAACCAAGGCAATGAGAAATTGAAGTAGTATTTCTAACAGTCCCAATGACTTCATTTTCCTCACAACTGCTCCTCAGGGAAATATTTTTTCAGCAAATTATTTTATGCTTAAATTGCTTTGCTTTTTCATTAAGCCCACTCCTCCTGGGCAGTGCGGGGGCGGGGCAGGGGTCGGGGGGTGGTGGGAAAGGACCTGTGGAAACACTGGAGGCGGCGGCGGGAACAGCAGGGCTGACTCTGACTAACACCTCTCGTGGCTGCTGCTGCAGATGGTCCCCTTGACCCAGACAGATTTTCAGTTTTAGGATCTTCAAAACACCATGTATTTTGAAATGAACATATGGTATGACTCCTGTGATTTCTAAAAGTTAATCCTTGGTTTTCTGAATTGCATGAAGGAAGGGAAGAAGTTGGTAAGACAAAAATTGTTTATAAGCTTGATGGTGCATGACTCACAGTCTGTCTCAACCTCTTTCCACAACTACCTCCTGGGGTAGGGGTGGGAGGGGGTGTGGGGGGAGCAAGTCAGCAAGTGGTGAGACACAGACTGTGAGACAGAAGCCTGTGGAGGAGCGGACTGGGTCCCGCTGGCCCATTCGCACCTTCACTTTTACTCTCTTTGCTATCGCAGACTCTGGCACTTTACTCTCAGCTGCCCTAATTTTACAGGCAATAGTTACAGACTAGAGGCAGGAACTTCTAGAACAGACTCAGACAAGATCCAAAAGGAGCCAGAGAGGCCAAGGTTTTCTCACACGGCACTACGAGCGAGTGCGGGGCACTGAGCCCTGCCCGCGTAGGCCTTGGAAACGTTCACGTGGCCCTACAGTGGGGCCATCTGCGCCCTACCAACGTCCCCACCCTCCTGTGAGTTAGCTGTTAGTTCCCCGCCTCTCTCTGCAGTTGGACTGTGCCCGTAGGACTAAGGCCCAACAATGAAAGGCAAGCAGAAGTGATGGGCGCCCCTTCGAGGCCAAGGTCATTGATCAGAGGCAGTCTATGCCTCTTCCATTTCTCGCTTCCCCAGTGGGCCAAGCTGGGAGCCACATATTTCACATATGTTAGCTTTGAGATTAAGTAGGGCCACCCAACCTGTGCCAGACTTGGAAAGGGTTCAACATAAACCTTCATTGTGCTGAATTCCTGAGGTTTCAATTTTCTTTATTCTTGTAGCAAAACTTATCCCATCTTAATACTTGAGAGCAAGGAATCTCTCCGACACTTGATTTTGTGAGAGAAAACCACTCTCTGAGTGAATTTGGAGACAGAATAAGAACACTGGGCTAGAAATTAGTTGTTTTTGGGGGGGATTTGGCCATGACTTACAGCACATCTTTGAGCAGGTTGCTTGACTTTTGTGGTCCTCGGGCCCTCAATCAGAGCACTTTTTGCTTAAAGTCTTTTTGTTTTGCTTTTTAAAAAGGTGTGTAAACCTTTCTTTAAACAAAACTTTTCATGAAGGCCAGGCTATAAAGCTGGTGTAAGAAAAACGGCCCCTCTGTATAGACCATGACCTGTGCAGCTACCCCCTGCGGGGTCCCCTGGGCTCCCTCTGTGGAAGCACGTTAACCCACAGGCGCAGAGGCAAACCGCTGCCCTGGACGCCTCCACAGCCCACTCTGGAGCTGACTCAGGCTCACGGTGAAGCAGAGGGTTCTCACCTGTCCCGCATGTCACACTGCACTCTGTCCAGTGGCCATACTGCCAGAAGTACATCAGCTTCTCCACGTCGTTGTCAACGCCATCTTTCCGGATTGTGTACTCATACTTGATGCCAGGGTTAGTCACCTGGAATAGAAGCTAGAAGGGAAGAGAGGGTCATGCCAAACTGCCATGACTTTACATGGAAAACCACAGTCATTAAAATACTACACCATGCCCGCTATCTTAAAGTACTTTTGGATACGTACACTGGGTCAAATGTCAGGAAGTGAATATACCTCGACCTCTACTTCTGCCTGTGCATCTACATCCACCTATAGCTATATTTGATCTTCTCCATTCTATTATTTCTTGGCTGAATTCCTATGGGAATTTAAGTTCATGGAAACAAAGGTCTAATCATAGGGAGTTGCTCTGAGGGAATGACAAGCAGGGTCTCTTCCAGCAATAGGCTGGTAAGTTGCCCGTGCACTCATGTACTTACTAACCTTGTAGTTATGGCTAAGTTATGTCATTTCTTTGTGACTTAGCTTCCTCACCTGCAAAAGGAGGATAATAATAGTACTAATAAGGGTGTTGTGAGAGTTAAACAAATAAATAAAGGTAATGTGATTAGATAGGATTATAACAGTAGCTGCTGTGTAGTTAGCACTTAGTAAATATTAACTTTATTGCTGTTGTTGCCTATGATGCCTTTCTCTAGCTCTCAGACCATTTAGTTATTTTAAAACATTGAGTTCTGGGATAAAAGTAATCAGGGGTTTTAGCCAAGGCATACCAGGCTTGGGACCTTCCCCTCACTTCCCTCTCCTGCAGGCGATCTACATACGACACGTTTGAAATGAATTCACCTTAAACTTGGAGGTGGTGGATTGGTTGTCCCATGGGATTGGGGGTTCCTCTAAGTAAATATTTTCCCATGTGGACAGATAAGATATTGGGTTTCCTGACATTTATGAAACACAGATGTCAAGTCTTAACCTCCAGCTTCCGTGAGTGCTCGGATATCCGACTCTGAGATGACTTCCCTCTAATTTCTAATACTGTTAGATCTGACTCTCTCTTGGGTCATCTGTCATCCGCAACCTGTCCTGTCTCCACTGGTAGGATTATCATACTCCTTTTCTACAGTTCTTTGCCAATACCAAAGACTCATAACTTTGAAGAACAACACATCCTACATCCTAACCACTCTTTCCCTGAAGAGTTTCACAAACTGAAACCTTTTGCTGGAGGACAAGCACATGACAACATGGGAAAGAACCATGTCAGTTCATCACCACTTCTGGAAAGCTACTTGGAAACTCATGCCAGGCTGACACAGACTGACAGCATCTTTTTTATACCCAATGAAGTCACCCTGAGATAAGCAGCCTGTGTCAACTACACCGAAGACTGAACTCAAACCTCCCAATGGATGGTTTTAGGGCCCCTGGTATTTCATTATGGGGGTTTTGGCAATTTCTAGGCAATAAAGGATTAACAGCACCAAACTAATATGTGGCTTCCTTCCCTGTTCCTTGCTAGAAGTTTTAAGGATTCTTAATTCTTGTCTCCTAGCAAATACTTTGGAAAATAAAACTAGAGACTTCCTAACTGATGTACATGTCAGCATCTTCTTTCCTCATTACCTGGATCCACACGGACTCATTGGTGGGACCTGTGGCCATCAGTTTCTCCAGGTCTCCTTTCCGGTCATATTGAAAGACTGTCCCTGCGAGCTTGTAGTTCCCATTCCACTGGATAATAAAGCCTCCATTGAGGTAATATTTTTCGGGGTCTTCACTCCTGATGGCCAGAAAGTTTCCAGCTCCCTTCACCTCCATCACCCGTATGTCTCTTGCTCCTTTTGGAATCAGGCCAATGTCAACATAACCTAAGGAGAGAAGGTAAAGGAGTGAAAAGGGCACGCTCACTTAGCTGAACACAGTCTGTTTCATCTTCATCATTTCGTGTCCTTGCTCTACTTCTGGGTGGCCACTGGGATTGGCGGTGTAGGAAGAACTTTAAAAAACTTGGCCACCAGCACAATTCTCAGGAGCTTTGGGACTCAGTATGTAAACAGTTTTGCAGGGAGAGGTAAAATAAACGCAGATTGCACTCGGAAGCTTTTGTGGTTGATCCAGCATTTATTTTTCTGTGATTTTATGTTGATAGTTCAGAATTTATATCCCCTAGCCAGCTTCCCAATAGCATCTCTGCTCCCTCATTTGCTGGTGCTACATCCTGGTGCTCATCCTCATTGCCTGCAAGTTAAAGACGGATTCTTAGAAGTAATTTAATCATAACTTAGATGCATGATGAGAATCCTGGAGGGGATCTTGGGTTGATTGCCACCCTGGTGCTCCTGAATACATCTTGTGATGAGAAACTCATCTCTAAGCACAGCTTTTTATATTGCCAGAAAACTCTATTCATTAAAAAGTTTTTCCTTACGTTTTTGCTGAAATATGAACTTATATTTTACTCTAGAGGGTCCTAATCCAGCCTTCTGAAAAAGCAAAGGAAGACGGGGTAAAGGTGATGGAAGGAGACTTGACTTGGGGTGGTAAAAACAAAATGCAACATACAGATGATATGTTTAGAACTGTATACCTGAAACCTATATAATTAACTAATGTCATCCCAATAAATTCAATTTTTAAAAAAGCACAGAGGACATCCATAGAAAGATGATGATCAGTTCTAGCCACTCTTCTTGCTTACTGGTTATTATGGTAGGAGACACAGTGGGGAGGAAAGGAATGAATGTTTCCTCTCTTTGCCAAACTCCACACTGAGAACCGCACTTCATCCATTCATCCTGTTTATGCTTCTTAATAACCATCAGCTCATAAACGCAACAGAATGGAGGGAATGTGGGCTTTGGAGATGGCGCTGTGAAAGGAGTACTGAGTCATGGGGTCAGGACACTTGAATTCTAGTTTCTGTGCTGCCACAAACAAGCTCTATGATGACATTCATCAATTTATTTAACTTCTTTGAATGTGATCTGCACAATGAAGGGGCTTGAATGAGATGATGTCTGATGTCCTCCCCAGCTCTGGTATTCCACTGTTTTGCCCTTGTCTAAGCTAAACATTCCTTAGTCCTTCAACATTTCCATTCAGGACAAGGTTATAAGACCCTGATTATCCTGGGTCTTCCTTCCTTACTGAATACATACTAGGTTCTTCGGCTTGACAAGCAAACCCTCGTCTCTGTCTGTCACCTGAAAGTGCCCTGACAGCTCTCTCTCTCTCTCTCTGTCTCTCTCTCTCTTTCTCTGTCTCTCTCTCTCTGTTTCTCTCTCAGACACAGAGTAGCATGGGGTCCTGGCAGCTAAACCAAGGGCTGGCCAGTAGGAATGACTTGTTCAGAAGTTGGGTACAGGCCATAACCTCAGTCCCATTTTTCAAGCTGGCAGCTATAATCCTGAGGAACCAAAATGTGAGTCTTGAAGTAATTCCATTTGGCCCTCACATACTTACCTGAGGTGGGAGATTAAAGCTATTAATTTATAACAAGCTCAGTGAAAATATTTATTGCATGCAACTGAGGCGAATATAATTTTTTAAATGCCTTTAAAGTGTTGCTACCTACAGCTATTCTCTGACTTAGCATGTTGCATGGCTTCTCATGCCGGAAAACCAACTAGCTACCACCTCATCCTTTGTTTAAAAACAAACAACAAACAAACAAACAAACAAAATTTTTAAAGAAAGAAAAGATAATTAGATAGAAAAAACAATGGAAAAGTTTGCATTTTATCTTTAACTTAAGAGAGAAAATCCAAAATTATAACTTTATCATGGGCAGATTCTGCCAAATCGAAAGGGAGGTCCTTCAAAATTTAAAATAAAAGCCTTCAAAATAAAATAAAAGCTTTTAGTGATGTAAGTGCTGCTTCTAGATAGTTTGGAGGTAGATGATGTAAACTGAAGCAGATTTAGCCATGAGCAGTAATATATATTTGCAAGAGAATACATATTTGCAAAAAGAATACCCAGGAGAAAGCCAAAGGATGAAATTAAAGTGGCTTGGAGTTTAAAAAGAACCACGATAAAATATCCACCAGACTCCTTTGCATGTGACAAAAAAGCCCACCACAGACAGAGGGGTAAAATGAAAAGTACAAGTTTCTGTTCCCCTGTACCCCCAGTCCTCTGTATCAAAGATAATTACTGTCAATAGTTTGTTGGGTTCTCCTACACAATTTTTTGTGCATACACAATTTGTTAAATAAGTGGGATCATACTGTACAAACTACTATTGCCTTGTAAATTTAATGTCTTTTCATATTTTTTGAGCATTTCAACAATTGCAAGAATGACATAATCCCTGCCATTTATTTAACCAATGTCCTATTAATGGATATTTAGGCGGAAGGGAATGGCTACCAATTCCCTTATCTAAAATAAGGAGAAGCTGAATTCCCAAGAGAAAAAAATCTATGCCATAGCACACAACTAGGCTCACAGTATATAGACCTATAACCAGGGTTTACTAACCCCTAACCTAGTGTTGTAATGGGAACATGTGATTGGTAGGACAAAGATGAAAAACAAATCCTCATGTAGGTCTCACCCTCGTGGACCTTCTTTACAAAAATGAGCAGCATATTAAAATGTTGCAAAAGTGAAGGGTTATTGAGACATTTATTGTATTTTGAGGGAAGGTGATCAGGGTTACTAAGACTTTTTAAGAATGATGAACACATTCATTCAGCGAAATCACTTTTCTTCCATCTTTCCCACCCTTGAACGGCACAATATACTAAACAAAAACAAACAAACAAACGAAAACCCAGCCATCACTCTTGCTCTCCAGTCTCAGTCCCCTGCCACTTCAATTATTTGTTTGTTTGTTACCAGATCCTTCTTTCTGTTTAAACATCTTCCTCACAGTCTGGCAGGCAGAGCCGTCCCCAAGGCACACGCCGCAGCGATCCTCCGTGGCGTTGGAATCGATCTCATAGTCACAGCCGACGCTCTGCAGGAAGAGACGTTGGGGGTGAATGACACCGGCAGGAGATGTCACACCTGCCTTGGACCTTTGGCTGACCCTTCCCTCCTATGCTCTTGGTGAGACTGGGCTGGGGACAGATAGAAACGCAAATGTCTCCTTTTCCTCACATAGCAGAGAAACAGCCAAAGCAGCCACTGGAGGTAAAGGCAATACTTGCTTAGAGGAGATGCAGGCGCACACTGAGTGGGTCTCCCCTGAGCCAGAGGTAGGACCAAACACAGTCCCAGATGTTTAACTATGAAAACATTTTGCAGTCATAATCGGTGGAATGGCAGGTCCCTTTCAGATGTGCAAACCTCATGCCCCTCTTCTCTACGGGGACTTCCCAGGGGTGATGCAATCATTCCACCTATAATTGGGTTGCTCAATCCCTTTCCATTCCTCACTGGGTTACTCTCCCTGGCTCCTGTCTGGGGATGGCAGGTGAACCAGCAGCAATCAGAGCAGGGCGAGCTTAATGCTGAGCCCAGACCAGTCTGGAAGGGAGGAAATCTCTGACCTCCGACCTATCCTCAGACCCTTCAGAACCTCTTGTGAGCCCAGCCCCCGCTGCCCTTCACATGTACCAGTATCCCAACCGCCCTAAACCCCTTCCCTCCAGCCACAGAGGAAGGCCTGGCCACTCCTCCTCTGAGCCAAGGATGATCTTGCCCCGTGTGCTGGACCAAAACCCTCCTTAGTGTTCTTCATCTCTATGGGTCCTCCTGACTCATCACCTTTCCCTCTACTGACTCCTTCTCCTCAGTCCATCAACATGGCCAAGTCTTTCCCATCCTAAAATTCCCATTCTGGAAAAGATGAGCACCAGTGTTCGGTAGCATCAGATACAAAGAATCGTGACACTTAGACTAAAAGTCATGAAACGTGGGAGCTCCCGTTGAACTTCCCAGTTGCTTGCTTTCTTCCATGGCCCAGGCTCCTAACCACATGTCAGTAGTAAAAAAAGAGGGAAAATTATACCACATTCTATGAGTCAGGTTTTTCTTTTCTGTTTGGAAAGAATTACATCGTGTAGTTTCTTTTTCTCTCACAGGTAATTCCCTTTCTTATGTTAAAGCCACCTCAAATCAACGGAAAGGAAGAATGGTTTGGTCGTTAAACGTACCCTCCCTCTACCAGCTACACAGAGACCCAATGCCCACGGGCGGAAATACCTCCTCCCTCTAGTGCCCTTTCGGTCCACAGACTGTGCTACTCAAACCAGTTGGGGAAAAAGTAAAGTGCTAAGAGATTTAAAGAAAAAACTTCATCATGCTAATCTCAAGAGAAAAGACATTTTCTGGATGTGAATCCTTCAGCGATTAGGAGTAAAATGCCAAATGTTTCCAAGTGATGTGCTTTCGTCAAGCTGGACCACCCTCTAAGGAGCTGACCTTTGCAAGTCACTCCTTCAGTGACTTGGAACAAGGCGGGGAAACTTAGTCTGAGACATATTAATTTTAAAGTGTCTTCTTAGAATCTCTACCAAAAGGGGATAGATTTTTAAAAATATAACTAATAAAGGAAAGAAAGCCAGATACACAAATGCCTTGAGCCCATGTTTCTTCCCTAGCAATGGGGGCTGGGATTGGGCAGGAGTCACACACATCCCCAGTATGCTGAGCACAATCAATGGGTTCTTGTGGAGGCTGCACCCCATTCACTTCTCCTGTCAGCTGCACACATTATAATCAACACAGAATTAAGAATATAACAGAAGGCTTACGCCAGCCCTCCCTGTTGGTCATAAAATGTAAGGGTTCTTGGGGGAGAATAAATAGATACCACTCTCCTCTTTCACGCCACAGGCTCTGGCAATAGGGACCACAACAGTACCGTCTTCCTGTCTCTACAGAGGCGGAGCAGACCCTGCTGCTGCTCCCCAACGTGGACAACGACTCTAGCACGGCTCTTCTCTGATGTGACTCGGGGTACCAGGCAGCCACCCAGATGAAAAAAAAGATTCCTTTGATTTCCCATCATATTATTTCTTTTAAAAAGTTCAATCAATAGTAGCTGCTATATAAAATACTGCAGGTATGTAATGTATATAATTTGATGAGTTTGGACTTACACAAACATCTGTGAAACTATCACCACAATCCAGGTGATAGACGTATCCATCACTTCCAGATGTTCCCTTATGTCTTGTGTGTATGTGTGTTTGTGTGTATGTGTGTTTGTGTGTGAGATAAGAACACTTAACATGAGATCTATCCTCTTAATAGATTTTTATGTGCACAATACAGTATTGTTAACCATAGGCACTATATTGTACAGCAGATCTCTTGGTTTGTGTTTCTCTGACGTTTAATGGTGTTGAGCACCTTTTCACATATCTGTTGGTCCTTTGTATGTCTTCTTTGGAGAAATGTCTATTCAAGTCCTTTGCTCATGTTTTAACCAGGGTATTTGTTTTTCTGCTATGGAGTTGTTGGAGTTTCTTACGCATCTGGGTATTAATCACTTATCATATATATATGGTTTGCAAATATTTGCTTCCATTCTATAGGTTACCTTTTTATTCTGATGACTATTGGCTTTCCTACTATCAATTCTTGACACTGTCATTTGGACTAAAGAGTATCTTGAGTATTAGAGAAATTAGGTCCCAGTCTTTCAGCAGGACTTTAGCCCTACATGAGTGAATAACAAATAGGTATTCTTGCTAACTCTCGTTTTTAGATTGTAATATTGCTTTACTTATAAATTCTCAAGTAACTGAGAACTGGCACCATGACCTAATCCACCTGGAATGTAATCCTTTCTTTCTACAATCCCTTGGCAAAGGTAGTGACTGGAAGAATGCCTAGTTCTACGATGAGACTGATTCCCAGCCAATGAAACTTTAAGTGTGAAGATAGCTAGGGAAGATTCATGCTAAACCAAAAAGAACAGATAAATGGTTTTGCCATTTAATAACTGGGTGGGAGAGTAGCAATAATATACTTTCCTTAACACAAATCTGAGGGCCAAAAGATAGGATCTGGAATTCTGGAGAGAGATGTGGCCCAAAGTAATCATCTAGGGTATTACGTGTATCACTGAAATGGCCAAAGTGGCCTTGTGAGAGAACAAAGAAAGTTCTGGACAGTTTATAAGAGGAATGAGAGAGGGGCTACCTTAGAACAAGTAGGAAGGTTGTCATATAAGGGTGAAGATTCAGCAAGGACTGAAGATACTGACTTTGTAAAGGCACAAATTCACAAAGTTGACTTTTTTATTTAGAGGAAAACAGAATAGTAGGCTGATGATAAGATCAAAAGAGGTTTGTGATTGGGTTGATGAGAACCGGGGCCCTGGGATGAGAGACTGATGAGAGGCTAAGAGGAGCAATCTAGGGGCAGCTCATGTGATAGATCAGGGCGCTTGGAAGAGAAATTAAGTCAAAACTATGCTGACTAGGAGGAAGGGGAAGAGTAAGAGACTAAAAGTCAAAGAACTGGTTACCAAGGGAAGGGCTGAGAGGGCTGGAAGATCGGCAGGCTGTCTGAAAACAGTCAGTAAGAATGCAGAGCTGGGGAGGTTGTGATTAAAAATGAGAGATATCCTGAAAATTCAAAAATTAAATTGATATATTTGATAAACAAGCTTAGGAGTTCAGTCCAAGTTAAAAAAAAAGGTGGGACAGACACAGATAGTTATCTCCTGGGACAAATTCAGTTTTGCTCAAGGCTTGATAATTCTTTTGACGATAGAATCTGTAAACCTAACATGCAAAATGTTGGCAAACATAAATTTGAAATAGTGGAATACATGAGAAAAAGCAAATGTAATAAAAATGTATATAAATATAAGCCAACATATTTTCATATCCAGAAAGAAGATAAATTAGACAAACACTGTATACATTTTTTCCCTGATGCTGTACCTTTTTATTTCAATACATGTTCAATTCCCTATTTAAAAAACAAAAACAAAAACAAAAACAAAACCCTGTAGTAAATGAGTAAGACTAACAAAGCTGAAAATACAACCTGGATCTTTGGAAGATAAATCATATTTAGGCTATTAAGGTAAGTTTGATTTGAGTAATTTTTTAGCTTAAAAACTTAGTGTGGTACAGGCAGAAAGTGGGTAGTTATGCCTTCTAAAAGACCTCAACTGATTTCCACAAAGAGGAAGGCAAGCTGAAAGAATACGGCTTATTCTATCAAACCAATTTAATTGGTTTTAAGACCAAGACCCCAAGCACCCATGTTTTCCATTATATGCTAAAGATGCTGCCTCTATGCATGCAAAGATATTTTGGTCTAAAAGATCATTTTGGCATTACATTCATTTCTTGGTGACCTAAGTTCTCAGCCCTAGCTCCATATGGCATTCAGCTTTTAAAATATCAATGGCCAGGCCCCAAATTCCAGAGATCCTGAATTTTGAGATGGAGCCAGACATCAGCAGATTTAAAAGCTCTCCAGGTAGGTCCCACAGGCTGCCAGGCCTGAGTGCCACTGCTTCGGGCAGCCGTGGGCTGCTTCGGCCTGAATTAGCTAAATAAACCTTTTCCAGCATTCGTAAACACATCTAGCCTAAAACACAATAATTATTTTGGCTCTTTGCATATAGTGGTAATTAGTGAGTCTGAAAGAGAATTTTGCCTGAGCCTTTTCAGATTCAAATCAAGAGTCTAATTGTGGCTCGCTTTGACGCACTCATTCCTGGGAATCAGCAAGCTGCCTCCTGTGCTTTGCTTCATATGGAATAGGTCAAAAGGCAACTTCAAGGTGGTAAGGGCACCTTCCCATGAACATTGATGGCCAGGAGCCTTTCACAGCAGCAATTTGGTCCAGTAGGAAAAAAATATATGATAAATATTTGCAAGAACAAATAAAATGTATTAAGAGTTTATTGTGTGCCAGAGCTCTGTTATAGGTTTACGATAGATGATCTATTTAATCTTTTTTGACAACCCCCAACTAGGAGGATATATTAATATCTCAATTCTATAAAAGAAAACTGAGCCTCAGAAAGATGCATAGGGGTGATATAGCTGATAAATCATGATAAAGAGTTCACATTCTAGGGCCTGAGCACTAAATCATTATGCTTTACTAACAGTTAGGTTGGTCTTTCTATAGCATAGTTTTTCTTTCATTGGTTAAAAACACCTTCTCTCTAAACTGAGACTTACGCCTGGGTGCTGGATCACAAAACTTGTCCATTATTTCCTTGCAAAACAAACTGTGAGCAACAAGGAGGAATTTTTCAAAGGTTGTATACATAAAAACATGAAAAATCAAGTCTAAGTAATTTATATAAAGGCAGAGGTGATTAATGGAGTCAGTGAGGAAAAGTTCAATAGCAACCAGAAGACCTGGCTATGCCCTCTCTCTCCCTCTGAAGATCATGTTGGTAATCAGTGAATTAAATGTAAAAATACCTTGTGAAAAACATTATACAAACCATTATGAATTTCAGTTTTTCTAAAATTTAATGACTCTGTTGGCAAGTAAGCAATGAATAATTCAATGCCACTGAAATAATCTGGGTCACCTTTTCCTAACAATTCCTCTTTTATAAAGTAATTTTTAAAGATTTTATTTATTTTTAGAGAGAGGAGAAGAAAGGGAAGAAGAGAAGAAGAGAAACATTGATGTGACAGAGAAACATCAATCAGTTGCCTCTTGTATGCACCTTGACTGGGGTCTGATCCTGCATCCCAGGCATGTGCCCTGACTGGGAATTGAACTGGCAAACTTTCACTTTGACACTGCCCAACCAACTGAGATACACCAGTCAGGGCACAATTCCTCCTTTAAGTTGGTTCTTAAATGTGTCCCTGCTCCATGCCTAAAATAATACCCCAGAGCACACCAACAAATCAAGAAGTGAAGCGAGCAGGAAGAAAACTATTCAGTTCCAAACTGTGTCTCCGATGTACACGGTCTTATACATCAAGACTGTGATGTAAAAAGGCTTGCCCCTCTGACCAAAAATAAAACCCAGACCACATGCAAATGCCACACAAGCAATAGGTTGCAATGTCTGACTGCCTGAATTAATAAAAGCATGATTTTATAAAGTCGTAGATTAAGGAAACATACCCAATACCTTACATATGCCATTAATACAGACATTTCTGCTGTTGCCTCCTTCAAAGCAAGGGGTGCCATCAATGACAGCATCCAGCATTTTCTCGGAAAACTGGCCATCTACAGGTCGGCAGTAGAGCTCACAAGGATGTGCTGAAGTGAAAAAGAGACAAATCCTTGCAAGTTAGCTTTTTAGCCCAGCACCCTTCCCCCAGGATCCTTTCATACATATGAATGTGACCCCAAGTGTTGTTCGTTAATCTGGAGGTGCCTATCTTTTACTTTTCTATGACACATCCTGAAAAATACTTTTTTTTTTTTTTTTGGTTGGAGAGTTTAACTACAAATTAAATTGGGAAGATTGTTTTCACTGTATGCCTTCTGTTATTAATGTTGAGACCTTTCAATCCAGCACTGAACTGTGCTTGTAAAAATAAGGCGCTGCGCAAGTGGGGTTAACATAGAAGTGCTATCAACCACTGACGCACAGTTTTAGGCAGCCACGACACCCACCCACTGTTTGCAGCAAGGTGAGTGCACCTCCCGGGGAGAGGTGGTTCTCTCTGATGGCACCAGTTCCCCACTAACACCCAAACTATTACCTCCCCCCAAATTCTCCCTTATCATCAAGCCCAAGAAGTCCTTGGACACAGATCCACAACCACACAGAAACAAAGGGTCTGCTTTTTGACTGAAGCTGAAGCCAACTTGCTTATCATAATGGTCCATCCCATCATGTTGGGTCCTGCGCTGAGTCCATTCAAAGGTTTAATTCTCTAGTCCTTATGAATGAAGATAGGGTGAGCTCCAGCACAGAACTGGCCTAAAGGTTTACTTAATAAGACACACACCTATACATGGGTACTTAGAGTAACCAGGAAGATAGATAACTTTTAAACATACATGACCTTACTTAATAGATAAAAATTTTAATAATAATACATGTATATGATAAGAATTCAAACAGTCATTTTCTTTTGAATGTCTTGTTTTCTTCAAGTGAAGAACTTCTGAATGTCTTCCTCAGAAAAGTCCTTTTGGGATCTCTTCTGGATCTCCTTCTTGTTGGAAGGACTCTTAGTTGCTTGATGGTATGACCAGCGGAGGGCTCGACGACACCAGCCGTAGGGCCATTTGCCGTGGACCCACCGCAGTGCAGATGAGCACCAGATGAAAAGCCAGGGCGCACCGCCCTGGGTGTGGCTGCTCAGGGTGCAACGACCCATGTGGTAAAGTAATAAAAGTATAAAACCTGCAAATAAAACTTAGAGCAAAAGCTCCGAACACTGAAACTCTGGACAAACTTGAGACAGAGTCAAAAACATGTGCTCGAAGCTTAAAGAAAGAAAGAATACCAACGGATTTTATATAAGGTCCCGTGGATGAGTTGTCTGAGAAAATGAAGTCAAAACGAGCTAGAGAGATCACTGGACAGAGCGCCAATGGAAAGGGGCCAGCAGGCTCCAGGGATAAAGCACAGCATGGATTGTTGTAAATCTTCATTCCTGGAAGCATGATTAGCTTTGTCACAGCCTGAACTGGGGCAGAAGACCTAAGAGGGAGCAATTCTGCTCCTCAACAGGCGAACACCCAGCCCTGCGAGCGAATTCCAGGGAACCATTTCAGAAACACAGGGCTGTCAGGAAGGGTGGAGGCAAAGGAAACACTTTAAATAAGAGTTTGATTTGAGCTTTAGAACTTAGATTCTGGCTTTTGCATTTGGACACATAAAGCAAAAAGAAAAAGCAGCCTTGAATAATTCTGATTAATCCTCGCAAAGGACGTTAGGTAACTGAATGAACTCATTAAATCAAAGGTTGCATTTTTTAATTTACTGAAGCGGCCTGGCTCAACATTTTTGGATAATGATCTTGAAAAGTGATCATTAGAAGCGAAAGATAAAGCTTTTTAATAAGGACACACATATCCCTTAGCTCAAGGATGCATGGCATGTTTTGTGAGTAGACTGAAATTTCACTTTCACCATTAAAAAAAAAAAATCCGGTTCCTAGAATCCACCTGCAGGAGGGCTCCGCGGGGAAGAACCCTGCGCCCTCACCCAGCAGCTCTCACTCGGCTGAACGCTTTGTCGTTGCCGTCTGGAAACTTTTAATAATCTTATATTTGAACGTAGACTTTGTAAGTGAAGTCTGATGGGACACCGAAGCATAGGCCCAAACAGAAGAGAGTGGCAATATGCATGTCTGCAGGTCCTTGTCTGATTCTGAGAAAGAGGTTAGAGTCAGCGTAAAAAAGAAGCTCTGCTTAATGGCTAGGCTCAGAGCAGATTGAGAGTAAAAACAAAAGCAAAAGCAGACAAGTCAAAAGCAAAAATCAGCCAAGTACCATGGACATGAGCAACAGGGTGGGGACTGACTGTGGGGCGCAGCAGGGCGGGGGAGAGCAATGGGTGAAAACTGGGATGACTGTAATAGAAGAATTAAAAATAAATTTTTAAAGATCAACCAAGTGATTACCAGTATTCTGTAATTTTGGTTAGTCAAAAATGGTATTCTTTTACTTGTTGGTACGAATATATTATTGTAATATATCAAAGTATATGTTAAACAAAAGAAGACATTAAAATTAATATATTCTACAATAACTACAGAAAGGTATGAAAACAAGAATAGAATTTTTAAAAATGAATTAAACCCACATCACTGATGTGTTAGACTAGGCTACATGCAGTAATATTTATTTACTGTATATTTTTAAGGTGTGTCTTTTGGTTAAGATATTTAAGAACTTTGATACTAAATTTGTAATTGTACCATAAATTGTTTGCTTTAGTGGTTAACACAGGCTGGGGCTAATGTAGGTATATGGTTGTTCTTATGAAAAATACTACAGTAATTAATAAATAATAATACAAGAATAAACTATGTTTCTTGTACTCACAATGGTAAACCTACTTTTGCCCCACCCTATACTTAGGCTTCAAAGTCAGGCCTGGTCTAACTGTTGACTCTATTGCAATGGCCAATTTACTTAAATTCTTTAAAGCAATTAGCTTATCCATAAGAACTGGGTCAAAACTTAAGTTTGTTCATAGGACTTTTTTTGTGGAGATAAAATTAGGGAACTTCATATAAAGTGCTGAGTGAAGGGCTTGGCACAGAGCAAGTACTGATGTAAGTTTAATATAAGCTCTTCTCATTATCAGTTACATCAGTACATTTAATATAAGCTGGTCTTGTTATCAGTTAGGAATGGAGTTCATCCCACATAGCAAAAAGTGGTGCTTCCTTGCCTTAAAGGGACAGGGGTTTATTTTTCCCACAAAACAAGAAATCCAGAGGTAGGAGTTTACAGCTGTCCTCCTTTCTTCTTGCTCAGCTTCTTGCTGGGTAAGTGAACTTCATGGCTGCAATGTGACTGCTGTACCCCGGTAGCAAGAGGGGAAGGGCAAATGGCAGGTGGGCGAGGGGCCGAGGACCAGCTGGGTGGGTACCAATTAAAAACATTCCCAGAAGCTTTTAAAGGACAAGCCTTCCATCTTCATCTCTTTGGCCAGCACCTGCTCTGCAGGGTTAGTGGATCTTTTCGTCTTTCCTCTGCCAGTGTAGGGGAAAGTGAGAGTGAAGGGGGCTGTGAGTGGCTTTGGGAGTCTGCAGACAGCCTTATTATCCCATCATTTTCCGTCCTGAAGCCAGATTCCTAACCTGTGACATGAGAGGCTCGGCTTGCAGACCTCCCAGGTTCCCTGCACACTTACACTCTCCCTGAAGGCGGTTTCTATCTAAACCCCAAGGATTCTTGGAATCAACTGTATGCCTGTGCCTAGGTGTGCCCAGGTGCTGGGACTATCCCTCCAGCTCTTGGAAGTGCTGCCAGCAGCGGTCCTCAATTGTCACCTCAGCTTGAAAGAGCTTCCCTGCCCAGGACAGTCACCCCCTCCCAAGTGCAGACCACACCCAGTCCCCGGTCCCTGCCGGGCATAAGGACCTGGCTCCCGCACCCCAGTCCCCCAGTCGTGGCCACTCTGCAGGTCCATTCCAGCTCCGGAGCTCCCTGTGGAGTTAGAGGAGGCCTTTGCCAGACTGCACTGCAGCCCAGCTCCTGCCCCCACCCAATGCCGCTTCCTTCCTTCTTCCACAGCTGCTGAGCTTCCTGCACGCTGGTCTCCATCTCAGAGTCTATTTCCTTGGAACCGGATCTGCAACAACTCATGAAAGATGGTCCTGAAGGACCCCATCCCACGAGGAGCAGACTGCGGTCTGACCTCGTGTCAGACCCTCCACATTTGCTGGAAACCTCAATGGCATCAAACATTAATTGGGCTTAAATATTTAGAAGAAACAATTTAAAAAATTCGCTTAACTCAACAGTTATTTGGGTGTTCTGAGAAAGAAAAAAAAATAAGAAACCTAAAAAGGAAGAGACATTCCAGGAAAGTGATGCCATTAAGATCAGACCCTTGTCATTTCCTAATAGAAGATGCAGGATATAAACACATTCTATTAATATAGGCTACTGAAGTCCCTGGGACTCTACACAAGTTGTATGTATATCAGCTTCTCAGTCAGACAGATCTATGCTTCAATTTCAGCTCTGTTCTACAGAATCCCGTAACCTTGAATAGGTTCCCGTCCTCTCTGAGCCTGAGCTTCTTTGTTTCTAAAGGATGAGGAAGGGGGTGAGTGGGATAATGTGTAGTCACAGGTTGATATAAGTAGGGCCTCAGAGATGCATGGCAGCTCTTCTCGTTGGTGCCTGCATGACTGCGACCAAGTAGAGGTGGGATAATTTGTTTTTGCCAAGAATGCTGGTAATGAAATGTCTATATTGGAAAGTAGGCTGATGTGGATTAGTAGTTTTCAAAAATTTTAAGCAAAATTATTTTCCTTTTTTTCAAGCAAGACTTTGCCAATAAGGCAGATGAAATCAGGATTTTATTAAGTATAGATTTTGTAAATTCAAGTATATAATGGTTAAAAAATAAATTAGTGGAATTCATAGAAACTATTAAGATGAACAGAAAATTTTGACACTGAGCTTATGAATGGTGTTAGAGACTTACGTGGGTTGTAGGATCTATTTTTTTCTGTGGGTTTTTGGATCCACACTATTGAAAAATCTTGACTTATATGGATAAATAGTTGTAAATGATAATAGTTTAGAACAACTCAACCTGCAACTTCAGGATATTTTTCAGTTAAATTGTGTTGATGGAAGACTTTTATTCTAAGGTCTGCAGAAAACCAAATTAATTTGACTGCTTAAGTTAATGCATTGATAGTTTCTGATATGTTAAAACTGGACATGTGATACTTTTGAGTGTAAGCATCATTTTCTATTGCACTTTTAAAAATAGTTAATTTTTTTTAAACATTAAATTAGCATCAAGCAATTTCGGAAGCTCTGGGATTCCATGAAACTGAGTTTGCAAATTATAAGATTTGATGGAGTTTCTATGCTTACTCTAAATGTTTAAATCTATGATTCTTCAGTCATCAGCAAATCTACCACAGGTCAGGTACCAAGACACTTAACACTCTCCACTGAGTGGGTAGAAAACTCCACTGTACATGTATTTTATTCTCCAGTGACTTCTAAAGGAAGGCTGGGAGGGTATAAAGCACTCAATATCTGGCATGGAGTAAGTGCTCCATACATAGTTGTTGATATGAGCGACCTACTTGTCACTTTTAGGAATGTCTGTTGACTAAGCAAATAACAACTTTGTAAGATACAGTTTGATGGGGGAAAGAAATTGGTGTTAGTCAAGGTAGTAGTTACTAGTATTAGTAGGTAAGCCACTGTGCTCAAATAATAAAATAGTCCAGGGGCCTGTAAGAAAACCAAGGATGGAGGATGGAGGCTTAGAGCCCAGGCAGGCAGCGAGCTTAGCTTAATTCCATCTTTTGGTTTATTCAGCCTCATACCAGTTTCAGATGCAAACCATTTGTAGATGCAAACTCCAAAATGAGTGAAATTTATGTCTACTTTTATATCTCTCATTTCTTTAGCATCTATTCTATGCAAGACAAAAAGTGTGCATGTGATAAATGCTTATAAAAAATGAAAAACCAAGCTTAACCAAATCTTTTTATTCCAACTACTCAAGCCATCAGAGTTCAGAACACAAGAGTCCAACCCTGCATCTGCTGTGGGGTGGGGGGAATCTCCACACTAAGTCCCTGTCATACTACTGGAGCAGTTATGCTACTTTAATTCTGGAATGCTGATTATTTAGGGACATAGGATCATGCCCCCAATAGTTTCAACAACAGAGAGTGTCAAGAAGTCTAGAATATAGGAAAGGTAGTACCTTTCAGCATTAGTTTTTTGTTTGTTTTTGTTTTAGTACATACATGAGTTTTGCTATATTCAAATGACTGGCATAGGAAGTTACATTGCACCAATAACCAAATGACTAGCTTCTCTAGAGCATGAATGATGCTAAACACTGAGGGGCCAAGAGCACACGTGGTCCATGACAACCAACAGCAATCAGTATTCTGGAAAGTAAAAGTGGACAAAGCACTATAGGGTCTTTTTTCAAAAGCAACTGACTGTATCATTTTTGTAACAGTTGAAATATGTAATTTTCATTCATTGACTGACATCTCTGAGTCCTCTTGTGTGCTATTACACAAGAATTTCAGACTTAAAATCATGAAAAATGTGGTTAATTAGTTTTTACTACCTATCTCAAATCTCCTTAGTTCAGGAAAATCTTTTATTTAATCTTTCATTCCTCACTGGAACAACAACAAACAGCACAGATATTTCCTGATGTTAATCTATAGCTAATGGTTAATGATATTCTTCCTTTTGGGCCTGCACTGCCAAGGCTGCCGTTCCGATCTACCACTTGATTCTGTCTCCACTCCCTAACGTGCATTCTTCAGATGCCTGCTTTTTACTTTGTACCCATCTTAGACTGTCTTGTATACACAACATGTTCGTTCCTGGCCCAGAGCTGGCTCTCCCTTGTTTCTGATGAAGTCGTTCCTACCATCTCTCCTTGTCCTGTTCCCTGCCCACGTGGAATGGCTGGCTATTTGGATGCCTCCCCTTTTCCTTCTTCCAGTAGAAAGACCTCAAAGACTTACGGGTCATCAACTACTTCCTTGGAATCCTTTTGTGAAATTACTCCAAACATACAATGACCTTGTTTTCTGCCCAGCATTAGAGGGGGTTTCACATGCTCATCGACAAGCACTCTCATCAGTATCAGTCACCAGATTCCTGCATGCCCCACTGACCACTGAGTTGCTCTTCAGCTGTTTGGAAGTGAGCCATGCTGTCTGATCAACTTCTCTGTTGTCTCCCACAAAGTTCAGCACAGAATTTGGACATATTCAGCCTTTAGCATTTACTGATCAACTTAACTGGAGCAGTGATTTTTACCTTCTAAAATATAAAACACCTCACAGTACATTTCTCTTTTCTGTTGAACTTTGCGGGGCAGCACAGACCCCTGACATATGCTTTCTGATAATGGCTGTGGACCTAGATCTGGAATATGCTGTGACCACTCCTTACCTGAATTAAAAACTGGAAACCAGTTGTAGAATTCATTCTTGTAGGGGACTGTGTCAAACTCACTGCACTGCATCTGCCGGAATGTTGGTGCACCTGGGCGGCAGGGGTGCACGTTGCACAAGCGGTAGCGCTTTCTTTCTCCGGTGCAGTACTTGCCTCCAAACTTTGGTCTACAGGTGAAACACACAAGCTGTCCTGTTAGTTTCCTTAAAGGCCAGCACCTTCATTTAAAACTCGCCCAGCACGTGGCCATGCTCACTTCCTCCCAAACCACGTCCCTCTCCACCCTCAAAACTCACCTTTTAAATACGTTCTTCCAAGTTCATACATTTTTGTTTGGGGGGTGGTCCAGGAACATTCAGTCCCAAGTGTACAGCTGCCTATTCTGACATAGTTTGACCCCTTCCCTCAGTCAGTCGGTTGCCTTGTTATCAGTTGTAACTTTTTCATGTGTTTTCTCCTCTTCATTTGCATAATGACCAAACCTGTCCAACCTTATCTTCATTTCTGGCTCCCCTCTGTCCATCTTTATTTCCTCATTCAACCTATTATATGATTATTTGGTTTAACTCTTACAATTACCTGAATTATTTGTTTCTTGTTTAAAAACCTTTAATGGCACCCAGTGGCCACAGAATCAAGTCCAGCCTGTTGAGCTTGACCTTCAAGGCTCTCGCGATCCTGACTTAATTCACTTGAACAACTTTACCTCCCACACTTCCCTCATGTGCACACTGTTCCAGTAATACAAGCGGACATATTTAATATTTCTTTTTTGTGCCTCTGGACAGATTTCCCCTCTCTTATGTCTCTAGATGCCCACATACTGCCCTTGCTTTAAGGACCAAATAATTGCCATCTCCATCATGACTCTTCCTGGAATCCTGCCAGAAGTAATCTCCTTCTCCCCTTCAGTGACACTCCATTATCCTACCGCATGTGCTTCCTGCACGCGGCATTCTGAAGATGATTTTCTGACTAAGGTGTTCACAGTCATTGACTCCCCGTAGGCGGCACAAAGAATTGTCCTTCGTATTTGAAGTTAGGCTGGTTTTTTACTCATTATGATACAGTGACACTCTGACTTGGCATCTTTCCAATTCACCTCCATCCAATAAACATCACTGAGGGCATTTTATGAGCCAAGCCCTACTGGGTGCTGACTAGACAGCTGACCGACATCAAGGGTACAGTCTCAAGGTCCCTTGGTCACTCATTGACACAAATCTGTGACCTGAATCACAGAACTGAATCTGTGACGGTTCCACTGGCATTGTTCTCAGAGAACTTAAGCCAGCCAGGTACTGAGATCATACCTGGTCGGTCATTCATGTGAGGAGACTCTATGACAAGCTGTGGCCTCTGGGATGGGATTAGGATAGCTGTCCCCCTGAGGCTCCATTAGAGAACCGCCCTTCCGTTCCTCAACAAGGATGACCCCCTTTTGACAAGCACAGGTCACTGGCCATTATCCCAAAAAGGAGGCTGACGGGTGGTAGCTGATACACAGCACTGACAATAGGTCCCAGAGCAAGTGGCCGTATTTTCTGATCTCTAAAATACAAATTACTTTTCTGGTCACATTGAAATAAACTATAAAGTAAAGATTTTTTTGTGAAAAATGAAGTATAAGAAATTCCTGGTTTTACATTTCTGAATTTAAAGAACTCGTCTATTTTTAAAAGAGCAACTTTTTTCAAAGGGTAAGATTTTAAAACAATTTTGTCCAAATTCCTCAACGGTACACTTACATGTGTGGAAATGATAAAATACCATATTAATGGCTATAATAACTATAATTTACTGACAATTTTTGTAATAGGTATTTCATTAAACTCTATAGATATTAACACTTAGAAATTTATCATATGAGGTATGAGGTATATGTGGTATGTATGCATATGTGAACATATATACATATAATAATATATTTTTTAATGAAGAGAAGAAGAAAAGATTTGGAACTGAGCTACTGAGGGGGCTGTAATGACATTTATCATTTGCCTTTTTAAAAAATGTGACTCTTACTCTTCAGTGCAGACTAATGTACAAATAAGTAAAAGAAGCCTAATACATTTTCCACTTTCAGGAGGCATTATATATACTTTTAAAAAATTATGCTTGGGAACTGGGATACCAGGAAATAATGAAATTAAGAATGTAATATATATGGAAAACAAGGGAATTTAAATTTAATTGATATATAATATCATTAACCAAGCTTAAAATATGAAAAAGAATTGAAAGCCACTAGCGAAATAATTTCCATGGAATCCTTAAAAGGCTGATGTAGATCTCTAAGGTTTTATAACGCTTATCTAAAACATTAAAAATAATAATCCTCAAAAATGCCTACCTATTTTCTTAGTTACCTCAGGGAGGAAAAACATTTTTATCAAATTGTACATTCTCTCTGATTGACCAAAAGCTACAGTCTTATCAACAGAACAGAATCTCTCACCAATAAGTGGTTTATCTAGAATTCAAATGTGTAATTTCCTAGAGGCTTTCACATAAATCACACTTAAAAAAGATTGCTTATTTTTCCAAGTGATGGAATCAGCTTCTTTTCCCAAGTTCTGGCAAGAATCCAGTGCCAAGCCCAAATGGAACCCAAGAGAACCCACTGTTTTTCACCCTCTTTGCATCTCAGGTTCCGTCAGGTCTCTGGGAACCCACTTCATTTCCCTCAGGAGGCTCGGGGTCAACTGATGTCACAATAGTCAAGGCTGATCACGCGAGAGAGCAGGGGAATGTATTTGGCTGCACTCACTCGGGGTTGTTGCAGAGCCTCTCCGCGCTCTGGGCTCCGGCCCCACATGTTCTGGAGCAGTGGGACCAGGGCGACCAGCGGCCCCAGCCTCCAGGGATGCTCTCTGGTGTCTTCCCCACTGTGATGCACTTGCCAGCCATGCACCACTGGAAAGAGAAGAAGAGGAGGTATGTGTGTCAGGGAGGTTCCCAGAGCGGCTGAGCCAAGAACCCTGGCAGCTGGACGGACCCTGATCCTCCGCGCAGGCTTCCTGCGGTCGTACATCAGGGGGAGAACAAGGAAGAGCTCACAAAGGAATTGCCTCCAAGAGAAATCAGGGAACGCCAGGAACCGAGGGAACTTAGTGGTGCCCAGCTGCAGCCCATGCAGGAGTGCTCCTCAGAGTGTGGTTGGCAGGCTGCGTGCCAGAATTAAGTCAGCACATCACTTCCTTCATGAGAAAGCCTTTGCTTGAGCAGCATGTCAGCCCAGTAGGTATGTTCAGTGACATAGTTGTTTGGTAACGTGATTGATTTACCCTCTGGTTCCAGCTCCTTATCTCGTAGACAATAACAAATATTTTGCAGACTGGTACTGTAATAATACATCTTTATAACCTCTATGGGTATTTAATGTCAGCAACACATAACTTTACCCTCCTGGAAAAAGTCCATTCATTGCCAAAACTACTACTTGTTAAGAATTCTAAGTTCCTTCTAGTAACAAGAAAAATTTCTCCTTTTCTTTGATTCTACCCAGTGTTTTTAGTTCTGGCCTTTCAAATGATTCACAAAACAAAACAAAAGAAAACAAAAGAAATCCACCCTCTCGCTCTTCAGGGCAATACTTCAACAACTCTCAATCTAGAAGGGTGAACATACAAAAAAGAAAACAAAAGAAAGCCATAAAATACAACTTGGTTGTTAGAAAAGGCTACATTACCTGGAGGATTTGGGCATGTTTTATCTGTTGCCCTCCTTGTCCTCACTGTTTCTGATCGCTGTGTACATTGACCAAGCTCTAAAATCTCCGTGTTGGGTCAGGCCACACACACAAAGCATGAAGATTCCCACTTAACACCAAAATTCTAGGCCCACAATGAACCCAACTGGCTCTGGGGAGTTGCACACACTACCCGGTTCTTGGGAAGTCTAGAGAGTATCTAACATCTCCCGAGTTCTTGGGTGTCTGGCTTTCCTGCTTCATAGAGTGGACAGATGTTCAAGAAATGCAGTCAGGTCAGATGATGAGAAAGAAGAAAACAAGTGGCCCACATCCATCATCTCTGGAGAGAAGCCACCACTGACATGTCCTTCCTAATGTTTAACATGAAAGTGAAAGAAGTCAGAATAAGCGCAGCAGATGTTACTAACCATAAACTCCATAGAGGTTCATCAGGAAAAGATAGGACAGATGTTTTGCAAGCAAAGTGTGGAACTGGGTCTCTCCTTAACTACTTGCTCCCAGGGAAGGCTCATAAGGTGTAGTGGCTGTGAATCCTTCCCTCTGGCGAGTCTGGCCCTGTGGCTTCCATCCACCCGGAGACAGCTGCTCTCCCGGGCCTTTTCTCCAGCTCTCCCCAAGGACTCAGCCCGCTGCCCACCCTCCCGCCTTTCCTCCTCGGCCTGACACATCACCTTCTTCTCGCCACACCTTGTCCCGTCCGCAGCAGCGTCCAGCTTAGAGCGACAAAAGCCTTTCACCAAGCACCACAGCGTCTGGCAAACATTCTGGAAAACAAATGTGAGATCACGCTTTTTACTATTTTCAAAACTTGCATAAAAGCATTAAATACACACACTCACACACCTACCCATAATAAATGCTGCTGTTCTTAGTGAACAACAGGCAGGGAGGGGGTAGTTAATCATTCAAGCACTCTCAGTTCTACCTTAATTTGGACTTCATTGTAACTCATAAACAGCGGGGCGTAGCTCAGACTGCGCAATAAGAGAAGGAGAGATAAAACAAATTTCCCAAAAGTTGAGACTGTATTTCTATATGTGTAGCACAATATCATTGCCCTGAGGCAGGGTTACTGGTGACACTGGCCATCAAAGGCCAATCCGAAAACTGTGGCTAGAAGCTGACAAAGAGGCGGAGTGGCTGTCACTGGAGCCTGCTCACTGAAGGAAAAGGAAACTAGCCCCTCCAAAAGCCCCGGCTTCTTTTCTTATCACTGAAAGCAGCCAGACTGTTTTATCTACCAGCTTCCAGGAGAGGTGGCCAATGAGGGGACCTGGGCATCTTCTAGGAACAGGTAGAATTTAGAGATATTTAGGAGGCAGAATTGGTGGAACTTGGTAACCAGTTAGAAGTGAGGGGTGGGGGACTTCTGCACCAACTTCATCTTCTCTGTTCAGCTGTGCTTGTTCTAAGCACTTATTCACTGCCTCCTCAAAGTCTTTCTCTGTGTCTCTTTTTGTCTTTATTTTGTATCAAAATTTTATCAAAAATTTCCCACCTGCCTCCTCTATCAGAGCTCCTCAAGGGCAGAGACTCTGCCTTTTTTATTTTAAATTATTTTAATACATAAAATATGGCACAGTACAAGATTCAAAAGGTGCAGAATAGTACAGCGTAAAAAGTGAGTCAGAGCCCACCCCATCCCACAATCCGCAGTCCTCCTGTCCGGAGGCCGCCATAACTGAGCCTCTCGTGTAGCCTTATAGGAGTCAATGCACAAACACACAAGTGGCACTCATTTTCCAATTTTTAGATCATTGTAACACCTGTATATAGTATTTCAATGCATGAATGGAACGTACTTTAACCAATTCCCTGTTATATGTCTTATTAATTTTAGGGTGCTCATCTTCTCCATCTCGCTTCGTACACCGCACAGGACCTGGCATGGGTTCAATGAGAGTTGCTTCTCCTTGTCTCTGGACTAACAATAATACGTTCGCACTACAAGGCCTGAGTTCAGAGAATAGTTAATATCCAGCTTACAAAGTAGCACTCATATGGCAGTTGGGGGTTTGTCCTGCGATCACGGGAGACCTTAAGATCAGAGAAGAGCCATGGTTAGATTTATAGAGGTATCTTTTGAAATAACTTAAGAAATGTCGGGGTAAAGATTAGTAGGAGGCCATTACAACAGCAAGGAGAGACGATGAGAAGCTGAATCGGACAGTAGCTGTGGGAATGAAAAAACAGGGCAGGGCCACAAACTCCTTAGGAGTTATCATTTGGGTGTTGAAAATAAAGAATAAATTGGGGATATATCTTATTCCTACCTTGGGATCTGGTAGATTAACCAGATTCAGGAAAGAATGCAACATTGGGGATTAAGTGGTTTGATGTGGAGTCTGCAGGTGTGACTACCTGTGATTCTTGAAACTCACGATAGAATTTTCTTCACCACCACCCAGCTGCAAAGGATTCAGGGCTCCACAGAATAGCAAGAAGGTAGAGTCAAGGAATATAAATGACTGCAAAATCAATCCTTCTGCCTTATAGATACCTTGCCAAAAACAGAAAGTTTCCATTTCTGTGTCTGGATCTTCCTATTTCCAAATATTTCCCTGGCCCTTCTCCCAGCATGCTGGAGGTCTGAAGCCCTGCACGTGCCCATGAGAGGCACCGAGACACCCAACACTTACTTCTACTTCCTGGCAGAAGGTGGCGTTGGGGCCATACTGCAGCTGGCACTGGTGGTGAACATCATAGATCACTCCAGGAGCAATGACCTTGGACTTCAAGCCTTTCTTTTGGGGCATGTCATCAAGACAGAACCCCCAGCCTCGGCTGAAAAGAAGTTAATAGAAATGAGAGCATATGTTCATGATTTCCTTCATCTTTAGTCTTTCATTCAACAGAAGCTCCTACCCCTCTCATTTACTTTTTGTCCTTCAAGAAAACTTTATATCTACAAGGCCAAGAACCCTCCAGGTCCATAGCGGGCGCTGTCTAAAAGGAAACCAAAACCACATCCCATTCCTTTAGTTCAGATGTGATCTAGGAAATACAAGCAGTGGTGAAACTAGTAAATCATCACCTTATCCCCAGTGGGGTTTGGGTGACCACTTCTGACATATCCTGGTTATTCCTTCCAGTCCCCAAGGACTCATAGGGAGCCACCTTCAGACAGGAGCAAGCAGTGGACAGGATACTCCCCTGGCTGTGGCTGGAGGGCAGAACCCACCTACATTTCAGGGTCAGATGCCACTCTGACAGTGTGACTTGAGAGGAACTGAAACTTTTCCAGGCCTTAGGTTAAACTCGAAAGGACATCTGGTTTCAGGAGACCCAGATGGGGCTGCTCTGAGATGCACAGTCACTTACTCCAGGAAGCGGGTGATGTACTCCTTGCTGCACTTGGACCACGTCAGCGGGCTGGGGTTGTACTGGAGCTGGCGCGACATGATGTACGGGTGCCTGCCCACGGGCTCACAGTCGTTCTCCTTCCCGTCGTGCTGGATGCCGAAGCTGCGGGAGGTCCGGGGCGCGAGAATGTCAAGGAGACGGTTTCCCGAAGAGGAGATGCCCACAGAGGCCCCCAGAAGGCATCTGCTTACTAAGGGGGACTGTGAGGTTGGGGAGGGAGAGCTGATTTTCAACTAAAAAGCACAGGGAACACGTTAGGCTAGCTCTGCTTCAAACGTGCACCTGTGGGAGCCAAGTGGCTAATTCAAAAGCTTCTGTCTGTCAGACAGCGAAGAGCTTCCGGTTGGCTTTCTAGAGTCAGGAGGGCAAACGCTGCCTCCAGCTGTTTTCTTTCTTCTGCTGCAGTAACCACAGCACCAAAAAGCATAACCTCCCTTCTCCCTTCTCAGCATAATTTAAGGGAGAGCATGAAAGGAGAGGGCTGTGGGGGACTCCACCAAAAGCCACAAGCTTTGAGGGGCTGAGTTTCTTTCTCATGCTGCTTGAGAGTCCTCCAGACTCAGCCATTCGGGAGGCCCCCTGGGTCAATGGGTAAGAGCAGGCTTCCCGAGGACACGCGGTCTGGACTGGAATCCTGGCTCAGCCATTTAACTATCCGTGTTACCAAATTGTGCTCCTTTTCCTCTCCTAGAAAACGGGATGGTCATCACAGTGCAGCATGAGATTTAAATGGAATAAAGATTGAGAACCACTTAGCCAGGTGCCTGACGTAGAATAAGGGCTTCATAAATGGAAGAAAGTTTTTATTGCTGTTTGTACCATTGTCTAGCTTATTTTCCTTTTCTAGATGAAGAAGTTGGAGATTTGTCAAAAGTCACACAGCTGCTTGGGGGCAAACCGAGCTCTTCTGCACGTCTTTGCACTGATATTTCAGTGTTTTCGTCCACATCTCGCTCAGTCCGCTCCGTGGCCTCCCAACGCCAGGGCTGACCAGGTGAAGCAGCCTTGGAAGGCCCTGAGAGCTTACCTGTCCACCGTGGCAATGGGGTGCCTGGGAAAGAAACAACCTCAGAAGTGTCTGTTCATAAACCTAGTCCTCAGAGGAGCACCCCAAGATGCCTTCTGAGATATCCCAGAAGGCTCTCTTCACAGGGCACTGCTTACTGGCCACCCAGAGTTGTGGCTCAAATTTCCAAATCTGAATGGAGAAAAATTACAGCTTTATATTCTGCCAGTGAAATTTAACCCTCTGACATTAACAGTAGCAACTCTTGCAGAGAATGGCCCTCAAGGGATTTAGAGGTATTTCTTGTATTTTTAAAAATGCATTATGCTGTGTGGACTTGCAATATAGACTCAGATCACATTCTATCAACACTCAGATGCAAAACTACAAAGGAGTCAGAGAATTAACCTGTGAAGCTCTTAACCCACAAAGAATGTGATTCAGTGAAAGCTTCCATCCGAGCAGGGCTTCCCCAGACTGTTGCAAATCCAGACCTTCCCAGCACATGAGGTATTCCACTGCTTCACCTTCTTCATAATTAGTAAAAATCCTACACTACAAACATGATTCTAAAAATGCACACCAATAACGTTTTTTTTAGCATTGAATATTCCACAATAAGCCATATGGATGGAAGCTATCTGCTGGGAGGATTCAAAACCTACATTCAAAATGTATCCGCTCCCCAAAAGCTCATTTTGGTCCATCTGAAGTTTTTCATTCACTAAAGCATTTTCCCTTCCAGCTTTATCACCCTCTGCACTTGCATACGATCAGAGAAAAGCAGCGCTACTAAGCAAGTGTCCCCCAGACAGTGCCTATTTTCTCTAAATGGGTGGGGCACTCATGTCACATGGGAACAGTGGGTCAATGAAAGAGGAAGGACAGGGACATCATACGAGGCCACAGGGATGGAAGCCTTGTTTCCAGGAAGTTACCTCCCAGCAGGTGGGGAGGAAGGAGGTCTCTCCAGTCTGAAAAGACTTCCTGGGTGGTCAGATTCACCTGCTTCACTCTGTCTTTGTGTTTAAATTCCTTTAAGGTGGGTTTGCCAAATTGCAGACATGAAATAGCAAGTTGATTGCCTGGGTTCGGGGGATCAGTTGGTGAAATGGGTCTGTTCCTTGCCTTTTATTATTCTTTTTCTGGTGGAATAGAACAAACAGAGAACAAGAACCATAGAAGTTCAGCTTTTCTAATTCATTATGACCCATTTTGTGTATGCCTATGAGCAAAGCTCTGTAAATGAAATACACCCCCATCCAGAAGTATGGGGTGGGGGAATACAAGGTGGATAGAGCCTTTTAAGTGTTCCCTTATGTCATATCTTCATTACTTTAGAGGAGAGGATGCCAGGTGCAGACAGCCCCTGAAACATCCTCCCAGAACGCCCCCTTCATTTCTGGTAACTTTCTCAGGAGCCCAGCAGGGTGATATGAGACCTGGCTATGGATGACCAATATAATCCTGGGCCCTCACAAATGGGTATTTTAACAGTTCCCTCTCAAAATAAAAGTGGAAGTATTCACTTAGGCCATAGCCCATGGTTGTGCAAGAGCTGCCTAGCATATTTCCAAGTCTCTTCACAAGGTCAGATTGAATTTAAGGGTATAGGGGATCTATTCTTTGAACAGAGTAGGGAGGATTTGAGAATATCTTTTATCAAGCCAAATCTTTTCAGCTTTTCTTGAGTATATCATTGCTGGAAAGGTCTTGAGCAATCATGTCTCAGCTTGATCTAGCTATACTGGCATTGCTTGGCCAGCACGTGAAGCTGACTGGATTGGAGGCTGCTGGGGACACAGCTCTCCACATCTCAGGGTTGAGGACACCTATGTATTTGCACATGAGAATAACTTTCATTTGCCAAGTGTTATTATCAGCATGCCAACAACCAGGACCTGGCCTTTTCAAGACCTAGCATCCTGTTCCCAGTCGTTATATAATTATAAGCAAGTCACTTAACCCCATCTCTGAACTTTTGACAACTAAGGAAACTTGGAAGGGCAGCTATTTAAGAATTAGAAAAGGTCACCATGGACAAAGCTTTGTCATGAGAGACCAAGGTTAAGATCATCCACACCCTTGAATTCCCAGCTATTATGTACATATGTGAAAGCTAAAGCAGTAACGGAGGCTGATAGGAAAAAGACTCACTGGAAATATGGCGCTGGAGGAGAATTCTATGCATAGCCTGGTCCACCAGAAAGTTGAACAAGTGGGTTCTAGAGTAAATGAAGCCTGAAGCGTTGCTAGAGGCAAAAGTAACAAAACTGAAGCTGTCCTAATTTTGGGAACATCATGAGCAGCCAGGGATATCTGGGAAAGATAATAATGCTGGGGGAAAAATGACAGCAGGAAAAGAGAAAAATCAAATAAAAGATGGATTGACTCCATATATGCAGCCATAGGCAGGAGTCTACGGGAGCTGGGCAGGGCTGTTAAGGTCAGGTCATTGCGAACGTCACTCATTCATAGAGTTCCCAGGAGTCGATGCTGACTCAATAGCATGTAACAACAAGGACACTAGAAGCTATCATATTTATCTTCTAGGGCTTTTTGATAAGGATCAAAGAAATCACAGTACCTAAGAAACTGCCTAGGTCAACCTACTCATTTCACAGATAAGCAAACAAATGCAGAGAGGTGAAGGGAATTATCTAAGGCCATAATATTGGCTGATGAAAAAGGCAGAATAAGCACTCACTTTGCCCAACTCCCAAGCCAATACTCTGGTTTTATACTGTAGGTAAAGGCATTTTGCCAAGTTCCAATATGACAAGAGAAAAGGGGTGAAAAAGCCCAGGCCAGAGAGGCCAGGTCTGGAACAATCCAGTCTCCAGGATTCTTCCCAGTCCCACCTCTTTTCCAGATCTTCTCTCAGGAAGGGACCCAGGATGGCAGCCACATGACAGCAGGGGGTAGAGCTGAGTCATTTGCATAGCTCTCCACTCTGAGTTTCTAATTAGGATGATGCGCTCCTATTTGTGGTTTGTAAATAGACCAACATATTAAGCTACAAATAAGCTAAGACTGTTCCTCCACAGGGACATCTGCTACCTGGAGAATCCAGAATCCTCATTATTTCTTCACTTAAACATTCTGAAACCTGCTTTTAATGAATCCATCCAATCAAAGTGACACATTTTTGGGACAACATGGACTTCTGTTAACTGGTATTTGTTTGATGGTTTTTTCAGATTTAGAGCAGTTTTCCATTTATTTATTTAACATTCTCCTTTACACAAAGAAGTAAAATGACGCTAACAATAGTGCCTACTTCGTAGGTCATCAAGATGATTCAATGACACAACGCAAATCATCTGGCATAACGGAAGGGCCCAAAATGTTATGGTCTGTGACTTTTTAGTGATGTTAACATTAGTATTATTTCACAAGAACTGACCAGGAATTGTTACTCCTGAGTTCATCGGCTGAGTTACAGCTTCTCCCCTTGCTTCTGCTCACCTCATTTTACTTCAGAGACTGCTGTGGCCTCTGGAACTGCTGGACGTGGGACAAGAGGTCAACGTAGAAAAGACACTGGGATCTTTAAGGCGTGTGATCATTCGTACATGACAGATGAGAAAGCAGAGGTTTAGGAGGGGGCATTTGAAGCCACAATGCAACCTGATGACCCCGTGGAAGGTGCTCTCCATCCATCTCACTATCTGACATTGACGTGTGAACACGGCAGAGCGGCCTCAGTTTCCTCGGCCCTTTACCTGTGTCCGAGCTCGTGGGCAATGGTGAACGCCAGAGGGAGGCCCGAGTCTTCATTGATGTTACAGCTCCGGTGAGGTTGGCACATTCCCGACAGGTGGGACAGGCCCAGGGTCTCGCAGGGGCGATTGACTCCTGCACAGATGTCTTTCCTGAAAGCAGAGGATAGAGGTGCATAGGAGCACGCAGAGAGCCAGAGACACACCCACAGCCCCACCTGGGAAAATCTGAGTATGGATCCACACTCAGTATGGTCTGTAAAGCAGGATTAAAATAATTTTTTTAAGTCCATATGAGTATAGGTAGCACTTGTGAATTCATTAAGATTATTCTGATTTCACCACTTGCTTATTGAATCTCACTAACATCTAAGGATGTGAAAATTTATGGCAGATACTTTCTTTTGAGTTACTTTTGCTCTTAATCTCAGGAAGCCAAATTATAGTATTTGCTCTAAAACAAAAGGATTTTGTTGAAAATGGAAGTTAACTTGAATTTTTAAGCAGGGAATGGACAGCAAGCAGCAACTGGGGTTTTTCAAATATGAAACAATTTTTTTTTTGTTTTTTCCTGATGTCTGTGCTCAAAATTCATATGAAAATTCTTTCTCACTCATGAAGAAGGCAACTGGTCCTATAAATCCATCCAGAGATCAAATCAATTTTCACTCCAGCTCCACTGCCCTAAAAAGATTGTACATAGGAGGTGACAAACATGCAAATGGACCGAGAGAGAGAGGGAGGGAGAGGAAGATTTTTTGCCTTTGTACCAGGGCCTCATTATTGCCTTACACTGGAAGAAGGAAGGAAAGATCCCAGGATCTCACAAAATACTAGTTACAGCTTTCAAGTATAAAAATGTGCTCCCATATCTTGGCAAGGACCACTTCAGTTCCTGACATGGATTGTGAAAGAGTTGTTCATTGGTCACTGGTTTCTTCAGCTCAGGAAGAACTCTTTGCCAGGAGCGACGAGGACCAATGCCAACCAAGACTACGCTTTACTTGGTTCCAGATCTTCAGCCCACAGGTTTTGTGCGGCACCATTTCTGGCAATCCATGGTCTGCTTGAGTGTCTGAGTGTCTGCTGGGCCATGGGAGAAACCCAGCCTTTGAGAACTGCTGTGAATTCTCAGCTCTCCAGGAGGCAGCATCTGGGACAACAGGAGAGAGCAGCTGCCTGCAGAACATGCACTGTAGGCACGAACCCACTCCCACAAACAGCAGCAGCTGCTGGGTAGTTCCCTGCTGGATCAGACAGCCCAATCATTCTAAATAGTTCATGGCTCTGCAGTAGGACTGACCAAACAGTTGTCTACCCCTGCTGCAAGAGGCACTTTTTTACATTTCTATTTTTACTACTTTTTACTATTACTATTTTTACTAGGTCAGCATAGAGCTGCTGAAAGAGATGAAGGGTGTTCATTGCTAAGCTGCCCGCCTCCTCCTTCTGAGAACGCAGGAAATTAGGTCCATTAAATAAAGCACTAACGAGGCTACGAGGGACTAAATAATGGTCAGAATACTGTTTTTGTAGGTGAGGAGCCGAGGCTGCCAAAAGGACATCAGCTCTACCTCCCCCATGCACAGGGGATGTCATAAGAGAAAACGTGCCTTGAGCTCATCATCACCAAGCCCTTATTATATGAAATGTTAAAGGAATTTATCTAAGAAAAAAAAGAAAATCAAACTCACAACTATCAACAACTGAACCTAAAAAAAAACAAAAACAAACTAAGCAAACTAGAACAGAAACAGAATTACAGAAATGGAGATCGCAGGGAGGGAGAAGATGGAGAGGAGGAGAAAAGGTACAGGGAATAAGAAGCATAACTGGTAGGTACAAAATAGACAGGGGAAGGTTAAGAATAGTATAGGACATGGAGAAGCCAAAGAACTTACATGCATGACCCATGGACAGGAACTAAGGGGGGGAATGCTGGAAGGAATGGGGTACCAGGCAGAGGGGGATACAGAGGAGAAAAAAGAATGGGACAACTGTAATAGCATGATCAATAAAATATACTTTAAAAAAAACATGCCTTTGCACACTGCCACCAGCCCCATTTCACAGAATATGTTGAAGCCAAAGCTACCTTCTACTGAAGGCAACTCCACAGGTAACTCTTGCAAAAGTGGATCTCAGTTCAGCCCTCCAGAGGCAAGCTCAGCCTTACACCTCCCTCCCTTCCTCATTCTACCTATGTCTTCAGACCAGAAGTTCTCACAAGGGGGTGATTTTGTTCCCCACCCCATCCTACGGGACACTGGGTAATGTCTGGAGACAGTTTTGGTTGTGACAACTTGGAGGAAAGTTATTGGCATCTCATGGATGGAGTCCAGAGATGCTGTTAAATATACTATTAGGCCCAGGACATCCCCTCACAACAAAGGATTATCCAACCCAACACGTCAAGGGGGCCACAGTGGAGAAATCCTGCTTTAGACACTGAAACATTCTCCACTGTCTAGGAGCTGGTGAGGTTCATCATAGCTTGAAATAAGACCCCTGTTCTAAGAAAGAAAAGTTACCATAATAAGAAAAAGGAGAGCACATCCTTCATATTATTAGGGTAATAGTTAAGAATATGGCTACTACAGTCAAACTACCTGGATTTAAGTCCCAGATCTACTTGTTATGGCAATGAGATTTTGGGCAAGTGACGTAACCAAGACACGGCTTCCAGGGAGCCAGTGCTGGTCAGGGAACCCGGGGTTCTTCCCTACAGACAGGCACTGCCTGCTCTGAAGTCTGCTTTTTGCCCAGTGCCCCAGTGCTGGCTCCCCAGAGCCCGCGTGCTCACACTCCACACCCTCGCAAACCTATTTTCCCAGGGAGCTATTGAGCAACCCACGGTGACATAGGTCCTAATGGACCTCATGTGACAGGTTTGTGCCACAGACTTCTTTTGGAACATGTTTGCATTCAAACAAAGTTTTGATACTTTCACTCAAAAGAGTGATTCTAGTCATTGGAAGTTTCCGGTCAGGGTAAGGCAGGTGTTTGGATAGAGTGGGAGCTGATTGTCATCCTTGTAGGTGTTCTGTGCCTGGGATTATGCTGTCAAAGGGACAGATGACAGATCAGCATGTTCAGGGACACACACACAGAGGGCCTGACAGTGCATGAAGGACCAGGCAAAGGGGCTTCTTTTCTTACTCATCCCTGGATTTCAGGATGCCTCCGAACCTTCAGAGGAGTGTCTCATGAGACTATACTCCCCCCTATTAATGTAAGACCTTCATTTGTCTAGATTAAAATTAGTCTAGTATCTGGTATACAGTAGGTGCTCAACAAATATTGAATCAATGAGGAAAGGTAGATTTCTAAGAGCCTCGGTTTCAGGAAAGTTCACTAGCTTTTCATAGCTATGAGTCCTAAATGGTTTGATGTGTTTAATTAGAACTGCAACATCTGTCAGTAGTCAAAACAAAATGGTATCTTCATGAGGGTAAGAGGTAGAAAGGTATAAGCAAACCACTCTGTCTACTCAGGGGAGGGCCTGCTCCCAACTTTCTGATCTCAACATCCGTCAGAGATCAGTTACAAGGAGGACTGATTTCTGTAGAAATAGTTGCATGTTTCTAAACTGGAGGGACATTGTTAAAATTAAAAATAAAGGGCTGGAATTCCCATGGTTGAAAGTAACCGGAGTCTTTAATGAGGATCTGCAAACAAGCTGCCTGATTGTTTATAAGGCCGCACTGAGAAGCCAGTTTTAAAGAGGACATCATCACGGGGCTAGGAAAGAGGCCAGCATTTGGCCAGCAGACACAGTTCATTAACGCAGAGACTTTGGTCACATTTAGCAAGTTTGCTAACTGCCCCCTCCCTCCCTGGTATGGGCGTCAGGCATGGTTTAGATCACAGAAGCTGCCTTAAGAAACGACCAAAAGCAATAAAGAGTAGGAGAATTTCACGAGTTTGGATACCTGGCCACCCTCCCACCTGCCAGCCCCCACTGGCGTGCAGGCCCCGGCTTCCCCGTGGGCTCGGGGGTACCTGGTGAGAAGGACGGCCACATCGTGATGGGCGGGGTTGAGGTCACTCTTGGGATTGATGCTCTTTTGCCACTTACAGAAGCTGGACAGTGTCTTCTCTGCATGGTGAACTATTTTCAGTCCTTGCTGGAGAAAGAAGAGGAAGACATCGATCGGCACGGCTGAGCGTACTGCGGTCAGCGCCCATCACTGGTCCCAGAAGCAGCCAAGTGAGGTGAGCTCTGGCCGGGTGCCCCTGCCACCTGGCAGATGCAGCAGAGGCCCCGTTAGGTACTTCTCAGGGCTGACCCCTGTGCTAAACACCAGGACTCTCATGACTTCCACTGCAAGAGCCTGAACAGGAGGACTCTAGGACAAAAATGATCCCTGGGACACGGAACTCTGGGAGAAAAAAACCTGAAGTGTCTTAGCAAAGACCAGCAGCTGTTTGAAGTTTTACTTCCAGTGGCTTTCTGCTTCCACAGTCAATACAATTCCAAAGAGTCTTATTTTTTAAATTTCTAATACGAAGTGAATGGATTTGCAACCCAAAGCTTCTTCCTTTCAGGAGCTGTCCTACAAGGCTGGGGTTGCACTGGGTGGTTCCCCATCCAACCAAACTTCTTGGTTTGTCATCTGTAGGGGAAGGGCGGGGGTTAGGATTAGGATCAGCAGGGTCACTGGTTGTCTGACAGTAGTTAGGATGCTGTAGAAGATGCCCCAGTTTGCAGCTTTCAGGGCCCCTGAGTCATCCATCTGGCCTGCAGTTGCTAATGAGGCTGGTTGGAGAGGGTTTGTTCCAAATTAACTGGGTGAACACTTGTCAGAAGAGGGAGAAAGAAAACAGGCTGTCAGCTCTAAGGAAACTCCAGTTTCATTTGGATTTCTAAAGGAGAAATTCTTTTCCCCTTTGGGGGTCTCTATATAGGCCATCCCTGGTACAGGGTGGATCCTACCTGGAGAGTGAATTCTACCTCCATGGGCCCACTATAACCTCAGCGTATTACTGTGGGCTCAGCCGGGGGACATAGCACACTCTCTACATGAAACTGTGAACTTGCTTCTCCACTACTCTGTATTTTGCTAAGGGTCACACCCAAATCAAAGGATGCCTCAGAGCCTTCAGGTCCTCCCACCCATGCTAATTAACAGCCATAGACCACCTTCCTTTCATGAAAGCACAGAAAGGTGGCTCATCGCTTGTGAAAACTCACCAAACTGCTTGGTATAATGAAATCAAAGAAAAGAAACAGACTTCATTATTTAAAAATCCTCATGATGACATCATCCAGCAAAACGACGGATCATGAAGAACAAGGAGGAGGAAGTGTGGGAATGACCCACACCCACCGTAGAGCACCAGGTGGCAGGCAGCAGGAATGTAAGGGAGAAAGAAGGAAGGAAAGAGAAGGAAATAAAAGGGAGGGAGGGAAAAGAAAAGAAAAGGAAGGAAGGAAACATTTCTTAATCATTCGTTATGGGCCAGAAATTTTCACATATATTCTCTCATTTAATTACATCTTTTCTCAGCATTATTTATAAAGAAACAGTTATATTCATTATATAATGAGGGAATTAAACCTCAGAAAAGTGAAGAACTAGATGAAGGTCACTCAGCTCAGACACTGAGCAATGACAAGGACAAGGGTTCCTAGATGAAGCTGTGCTTCCAACTGGTGATCAGCTTCACTAGAATGTCCTTTCCTACATCGGCTGGACTCACCATTTGGAAGACCTTACATATCAAACCATATGAGTCTGTTTAAGAAAAAGTGAATGTTAACATACTCTTAACATGCACGATTTACACAGATCTCAAGGGAGTTATGCTGAATGAAAATATCTCACCCCAAGAGGTTGCACACTGTATGATTCCACTTTACAACATTATTGCAATGACAAAATTATAGAGATGGAAAAGAAGTTGGAGCTTTGCCGGGGTCAGGTCGGTAGGCAGAAGGGATCTATAAGAGGGCAGCATCCACTCTCCCTCATTTCTCAGCCAAATTCAGTGTCAGCAAGGACTTGTAATCAGCAGGAGAGAACAGTCATTTTCCAGACGTTGCCGCATGCGTGAACACTCTGCTTCTAGTTTTCCCAGCATTAGGAACAGCCCATTTCCCTGAAAGATCTTCGAAACTTTGACTCCAATCTTCTCATTTAAATGATGAGAAAATCAGGCCCAAGAGGGGCAGTGCCTTCACCGAGTCACACGGCAGGTTTTGGCAGAGTGGGTCTTAGATCCCAGGTTTGCAGCTACTAGTCTAGGACTAGTGGTTTCCAAACTATTGAAGACTTCTTTTGCTTTGACTAACTGGAAAGCTTTAGCAACTCACCAGTGGAGGATTATGATTATCGCTTGGTTCTCCTCCACTGCTCCCACCCCTGGTGAGGGGACAAACACAGGCAGAGATCCCCAACTCTCCGTCCCCCTCTGACTCTCCGATGGCTTCTCAGGCCCCCCGATGCGCTCTCCTTCTGCCCTGCTGCTGGCTCATTGCTTAGTTCATCCTCAATCACCACCTCATTTGGAGAAATCCCCTGTGTGCTGTTGACTCGCAAATCCACACCTCATTCCAAATCTCTCCTAGAGTTCAAACTCTGTACCCACATCTCCTGGTGGACTCCTCCTTCGGGAAGCCACCACAGGTGTCCCCACCGCAGCATCCCTGAAATCCTTTCCCTGTGTATTCACTTTCTGTTCTTCCTGCATCCTATGGCTCTGTTACAGGAACCCCCAGCAACCGAGCTGTCCAATCTAGAAACACTGGTGTCCTCCTATCGGCCTCCTCTCCCCCCATTTCCTGCTTCCCAATCCGTCATCACAGGCTGCTCATTTTTACCTCTTCTCCATCTTTACTCCCGACTGCCCTAGCTCAAATCCTCATCATTTTATGTTTGGATGCATGTTTGCAGCATCTTTTAACTGTTCTCCTTCTTTCCTCTTTGTTCTCTTTAATTCCATCCTCTTTGCTGTTGCCAGGTCAACCTAGTCAAAATCAAAGTCCGTCCATATCATGATCCAGGGTTCAAGGCCCTTTCAAAGTCTAGCCTCTAGAAAGCTCTCCTTCCCTTTGCAACCTCACACTTTATGCTCTAGCAATCTTCAGGCTGCTTGTATTACCACTGTCTCCAAACATCGTGCTATTTTTTACCTTGCTTTCTTCCAGCTGCTCCCTCTACCTGGAAGGTCTTTCTCTCTCCTCTTCCCGCCTTTAAACGAGTCAACATCCATGATTGCTCCCTATTGCTTTTGTTGGGTCCTCTTACAAACAAAGCAACTGCACAAATAGCTGAGTTGCTTATCGCTCGCATCTGGGTACCCTGTCCCTGTGTAGAATTTTCCTCTACGATATGGGGCATTTAATACAAGTTCAGTGACGTGTTCCTAAGGATACCTTGCTTCTTTTCTATTAAATGTCATGACTCTTCCAGGAGGCTTTACTCGTGCACAATGCTTTTTTCAGTCCCCTCCATCTCTAAATCTCCACAAATTTTCTAGGAGGCCAAGTCCAAGAAACACTTAGTCATTTCGTTTCGTGAATGCACTTGATCCCAGGAGCCTTGGGAAGAGCAGTTACGTGTGCCTGGCTACCATGCAGCCTAAACAAACACCAGAGGCAAAAGCACTCAGAGGGATTGTGCTGGCTCACAGTGAACGTGGGGGGACTTGCTCAACAATTTCCATAGAGCATCCTCATAATTATTTGAGCTTGTCAAAACAAACCCCCATCCACACTAATTTTTTCCCATTTCCTTTGTAAACTAAAATCGATTTCCCTCTTTGTTCTTGTGTCATGTTTTTCTCACCTCATTTTCTCAAGTGAGTCCAATTCACTTCCCACTTCTCCCTTCCTATTCATTTGAGTAGGCGACCTTACATGGCAGGGAGCAGACCTAGAGGAAATCAACAACGGCTCACAGACACAGGCCCAAATGGGAACTAGGAAATGATTTTGCAAGTACATGGCTTTTGTTGTAAGTTGTTCTGTCTCTTTGTGAGCTCTCTCTATAATGAAAAAAAAAAAAATATTGATTTCTTTGAGAAGTCCCAATAGCAGCTTTTTGATTCAAAGCCATGCTCCTAGCCAGGCTTAGGTTCCCAGAAGAAAGAGAATGAGCAGAGGAGAAAAGCAGTAAAACGTTTAATCTGAAAACTTCCTTGTGCTTAAGGAATAACTCATCTGACTATCAGAGGAAAAGATACTCAATTTTAAAAAAGTAACCAGTCTACAAATTCTTCGCTAATATTATTGACATTTATACTGAAAGAACAGGAGTTATCTAGGTTCTCACAGACCCACCAATCACCCTGGGGGCAGGAGAAATCGTCAGCCTGGATCTCCAAAGTTAGCAGGCTTTTAACTCCAGACTCTCACAAAAGTGAACCCAGCACTACATCACTCTGAGACCAAGAGCAACATTCTCTGTGAAAAATCTCCTCCCTGCCTGTCAGCTCTACTGCTGCTCCTGCAAGCCAGCCTGACGCCCTCTGGTCCCACCCCTGGATGGCACAGGGACCTGGGGCCCACCTGGCTTTCTGCCAGCTCCCACTCCCACCCCAGTATTGTCTCTATCCTGTTCTTAAAGAAGTCTCCTAAAAGACTCTTAAAGAAGTCTTGTGGCCCTAATCTCATCCTTAAGCCTTTGGCACAGTTTCCTTATCTGTGAAATGAGCTAATAATAGTAATGAATTTACAGAGTTGCTGGGGGACCTAAATATGATGATGATAATGATAAAAATCATAAAAATGATACTAACAAGTATTAACAGATGCTATTAATCCATGCTATTACATGGATTAACACATTTGATTCTCACAGCAAGTCCAGGAAGTAGACATGTTTATCCCCATTTTATAAAAAGAATAATAAAATGGAGATATGGAGGCACAGACAAGTCAAGTAACCTACCAAAGGTTATACAGCTAGAAAGTGGGGGACGAACTATGCATCTTGTATTTTGTACAATGTCAGTTGCTCACAAGACTTAAAGAAGGAAAAGTTAGAGGTAAGAGTCTAATCCTGTCCCTAACCTCTGCCCAAAAGGAGAAGGGAAGCCATCTGATAAATTGGTCTAACATGGAAAGGGCTAGAGGCCAAGTCAGAGTCCAAGTCCTTGAGGGGGAATGTAATGTCTCAAGGAT